TCATATCTACTACTGCCAGCCGCCTGTCCACTCACTTCTCTATTCAATTTCCAACCCCAAACAGTTGCATCATCACAGATTGCAACCATCCATTGCCTGTTACTAGAGAAAGTCACTTGTCTTATAGTGCTATCGCATGTATCAACTCCTAAAACAGCTGGTTTACACACCTTTGTTTCTGAAGTCCCATCATTATTAACACCTTTTGAAGTTGAAGACAGGCCATCACTTACATCACTAGCACTACTATTATGGATTTTGGACTTTTTATTATTTGACCCACTACCTCCCTTTTTTTTCACAACCTTATCCATCTTCACTCCTGAGCTCTTCAATTTTTTCTTCTCGATATAACTATCAATAAGGCACGGAATCTCATGCAGGTCCCATAAAAATATCTGCCCAATTTGATTGCCTGTTGCTAGTAATCGATAATCCTGAGAAATTCCAAATCGGAGAAACCAAATATCACAGTGATCGAATTCGAATTCACATATTATATCAAAACTTGTCGGTTGCTATAGATAAAAGAAGGATTTTTATCGACTTGTAATAACATGACGGAATAAAATATGTAACGCTTACTTTGCTAGGAACAGCTGGCCCACCAACTATAGTAGTTGTTACATTAGATCTATCACTTGCAACCAATTCAACTTCAGGCCTCCACATTATAATTTTAGCATCGGCTGCACACCTTGACATTAACAGATCTCCATACCACCTCACACAATCAACATAATTATTATGCAACTGTGCTGTTGAGAAAATGGGAAAATGTACGAATAACGGAGTTGACGTATGTCCATGTGATTTGCAACATGTCGATGTCTGAATTTGCTGTTGCTGAATTCGAGAAAGCGGTTTGGGCTTAAATGAAGATTCAATGGTGTGCTTAATTACAGGTGTACATAAAGACCATATCTTGACAGAATGATCCATTCCAGAAGATACCAAAAAATCTCCAGATAAATGAATATCCTTAAATAAAAAGTAAATACTATAAGAATTATCCCAATTTTTTGAGTGTACAAATCATAAAATAAACATTACAATGCTCAAGACTGGTTCTCGATGACCGCACTCTCCACCAAAAACTACAACAGGTGTGCCAGTGATCACGTTCCAAAGCCGTATTGAAAAGTCTTTGCTTGCTGAAAACAGCAACGATGGCATCCTTGGGTGAAACTTAATTTCATTTATTTCCTGTAAATAAACAGATATTAACATAATATTTCGATTTGAAATATCACGATAATTAATTCATTTCTATTATATGACTTGCATCACCGTGCCCCGTAAGAGTCTGTATAATATTTCCTTTGCTCGTGTTTAATATTTTGACAAGACCTATTGCACCAGCCACGGCAAGCCAAGGCGCCCCTGTGTTTGGGTCAAACGACCATGCACAACAATAAAAATTCTCTA